GCAATGAATACTAATTATGGGAACATTTTTTAAAAATGGAAACAAGCAAGAAGATAACTCATAATGCTACCTACTAGGAAAAAAGTCTTTTTTTTTTTTTAAATTGAGGTGCAATTGACATATGACATTACATAGTGTCAGGTGTACAACATGATGATTTGGTCTTTGTCTATATGGCAGAATGATCACAAGAAGCCTGGTTAACATCCATCACTGTACAAGATTATTTTATATTTAATTGTATTTGTACTTATATATTTTTATATATTTTATTTTAAAACACTGTCCACACCTAACCAGTCTGCCAGTCTAGCCGCATGTTTGAGACCTCTTGAATAGCACCCACGCTCCTTTCTGCTAGCAGGGCAATGCTGAGGACCCTGGAGCCTCGGTTTTGCGCCAGTCCACAGAAGCAATGCGAGTTCAAGGTTCCCAGGAAGGAACTCTGATGGGAGCAGTGACTTGCAAAGCAAAAGGTGTCAACTTAGGTTCGGGTGACCCTGCTGGTGCTCGGCTGGAGCATTTCATCCCGGAGCTAACCCACTGCTCCCTGGGAGAACGTGGCAGCTCATATTTCAGCATAAAATATATTGAACAACTTTTAAGAGTGAATGAGGCAGCAGGTGGGGATGGGGAGTGGGGAAAACAGCAACTGAGTTTTCTGCTGAAAATCCAATTGAGAATTTGTGCTGCGACCTACATTACTCTAGCTTCCACCCCCGGAACTTTTTCTCTTCCCTCAAGGAACAGCAGAACATGAAATATTTCCCAAGGATGAGTTCCTCTGCAAAAAAAAAAAAATTTTAATAATGTGCCAAATGACAGCACAGCCAGTCATTTAAGCCTGCACTGATATGCGGTCCAGTTCTGTGGAATGAATTATTGGAATCCAAGCTTCCCTTCATTAGCTTTCAAAAGCACACCTGATATATCCACCAGTATCTGCTCACATCTGCCACGTGTCGCGTCTCGGCATTCACCTTTCTCTGAAACGCCAGGGCGACACAAAGAATATGAGGCTCCGCAAAGAAGAGGGTGTTGGGGGCCCGCCATCTGCTCGCCATGTTGGTGGGCGGACGCTGGCTCCCACCAGGGCCAGGCTGATACACAGAGTTCAACGTGGAAAAGAAATGGCCCACTTCCTACTGTCCCGCTTTGTAATTCTGCTGCTGGCGTTTGCAGGGAAGGTGACGAGAGGCAGCGAGATCTGGAGAAAAAAATTCAACCTGCTGATGCCTCAGCGCTCAGATCTGTACAGATAGCAGAATACTTGAAAGTCATGATGCCCCTTGCAGAGCACAGTGAAATAGTGACACGGTAAACAGGAAAAACGAACTGGAGAATGGTGTGCAGAAGCAGGTCGCATCTAACACTGGAATCCAGGCTGCAGAAGCCCGAACGTTTTAAGCAATATTTATGGGGTGGTGATGGTGGTGGTGGTGGGAAACGGAAGAAAAACATGAACAGATTCTACCCACTAGCTTTTATTCCCCTGCGCACCCTCCCTCTCTCACCCAATGGGCAGGGGACCAGCTCACAGCACGTGGGAGGAGGGCAGAGGGAGAGCCGAATGCATCGTGGGTAACATGCAGTGTCTGGTCCTCACGTCCAAAGCCTGTCTGAAGAAGCCATCGGAGTAGTGGGTTGAGAGGCAGGACTGCAAACTCAGGTGTCTACAGGGGCCAGGCAGGTAATGCAAACATGTGACATCACCTGAGTATACGAGAAAAATGGCCCAATACCAACACAAATGGCAGGGGAGGTTGGGCTGAGTGTCCGGAGACAAGGGGAGTCGGACAGGGTGGGGCGGGGGGTGCCGCAGGGCCAGTCGGCTGGAGCCTGCAGCCAGAGAGCAGCTGAGTAGGAGCGCAAGCGGGTATTCACCTGTCCTGGCTGCCATAACACAAAGCCACAGACCCTGATTTCTCACAGTGCGGGAGGCAGCCACGGTCAAGGTGCCGGCAGGCTCGGTTCCAGGTGAGGGCTCCCTTCCCGGCTTCGGGACGGCCGCCTTCTCACCGTGTCCTCACATGGCGGACAGCCCGCGCTCTCTTCCTTTTCTTACAGGGGCACTAATGTCATCGTGGGAGCCCCACCCTTGTGACTGCATCCAAACCTCATCACTTCTCAAAGGCTGCAAATACCATCACATTGCGGGAAGGGGGTTTAGGACTTTAATATATGGATTTGGGGGGACACCGTCAATCCATAACAAGGTGGGACCAATTCTCATTGTTCAAGAGAGGACTGATATCTGATTTTTAGAAATCTGACACCCTTCAATTTTTTGACGCTGGCAATACTTCAAGTAAGACAAACAAATAACAAAACCCCACTGGATCAGTGAGATGAAACAGGTCAGAGGGTCAGGCTCAACCCACAGGTCATGGGTTTGTCACCCATGCCCCCAAACACGGGCCACAGCACCAGACAGCCAAGGCTCCCCATGTGCTGGTGGGTAACCCTGGGGCTTGCCAGGCCACTTCTCAGAGCCTCACTTTCCCGGTCATGATTATCTGGAACCTTCTGGAACTGCCCTTTTACTGGCAACTTTGCAAGGTTCCACCGAGGAAAATGGAGACATGGTGCCCACCTCATGGGGTCTCAGGGAGATAAGCCAGGTCACACGCAAAGCCGGTGCCCAGAGGAAGTCTGGCCAAACGGAGGCGGGAGGAGGTGGCGGCCACCAGCTAGTGAAGAAAGGGCATTTGCGTTCAGCATTTGAAAGAGCTGAGGACACGTCAGGATTTATTACTATTATTATTTTTTAATTATGCTTTTTGGGGTTTATTTCCTTAGCCAAGAGAGGTTTAAAAAACAAAAAGCTAGAAATCTCTGAGGGCGAGCTCTGGAGCTGAGATAGCAGTCTTGCTGTTTTCCTGGGCACACACGGACAGGAAATTATCACAGGGAGATTCACCGGCTCATCTTCCATTACCCCAAAATGAAACGACTTGCACATTTCAACCTGTGATCCCATCTCGCTCCAAAAAGACAGAGGAGGGGAGGACAGCTGAAATTGGAGCTGCGGGGAAAGCCAGCAGACGACAACAGTGTAATTCACCTGGGGTCCAGACCAGCGTACCGTCAGAAATCTTGTGTCAATATTGTGTCACCTGCTACCATCTCCTACCGAAACTCTTTGTATTTTTTAAAGCCCATGAAACCGAACCTTATGTGCTCCATGCTAATTAGGCACAAAAGGCTTCTCTTGCAGCTCTGATTAATGGCAACCAGTGCAGCTGAGATCGAACAACACACCGAGACGCTCTCATTAACACACAATTTTCACAATTCTGCAGGCTAATCTTTGGTCAACACTCGCCAGCGATGCCTGGACTGCCCGTGCCAGATAGGCGGTCTCCGGCTTCCCTGTGTGGGGCGGTCTTTCCTCCTTCTCAGACTCATGGCGGGCAGCCTTTCTCAGCATCGTGGCCTAAGCACCAACTCTCTAACTCCGTTTTCATCAGGGAATTTAGCAGCCAAAACGCACATGACCAGTAGGAGGTTAACTTCTAACATACATGAAGGGCCTGGGAGCTGCCTTTCAGAGAACGGGAGCCCCTCTCATTAACTTACCAAACGGCGTGAGATCTAGGCCCTGGCATCACAAATAACCAGATGAAAGAAAAAGACAGTTTTCCATGTGATGTATTCTATTTAGAAGGAGACTGCAACTTTTATCAAAAGCAGCACAATACAGCTATAGCTTCTCACAAAAGCCTTAAAACAATACAAAGACACGAGCAGCCAGCTTGGCTACAATTTCAAATGCTGTGCACAGGTAAGGGGGGGCAGCCCTGCCCACGTTCGTCTGGTTGGAAGTTCAACTTGCAAATTCTGGGAAGCGTGAATTTCCCACGTTCAGAAGCAGAAGTGAGCCCCCTGTTTTGAGTCACAGCATCACTGTTAGAATGAAACAGCTCCCCAAACCCTCAGCGTACCATTTTCAAGAGCTATAGTGAAAGGAAACTCTGACTTTATCCCAGCAAACCTCACAGACCCAAACCAGGGCTTGTCACGCAATGAGTCCCAGTCCCATTTTGGGGGAGCCTTTGCTCTGCGCACCTTTGCTCTGCAGACCTTGCCATCCATCTGGTGTTTCCAGATGGAAATAGTTTAGAAATAATAGAATTATATTCTACAGCATCTTAAAACTCTATAAACACCAAGTACTGCTTCGTCGTTTCAGTTCTGAAGATTCCAAGGATGAAAATGTCTCGGGCTGATGACAGGCTGCTAAGAACAGATGGACTCACGGCGGGGATAAGGTGGTGACACCACGTGATGGCCACCTGCCCCAAGGTGCTGCACCAACAGATGTGTCCAGGCAAGGGGACCCGAGAAAAGCGGCGGGGAACAGCGTCAGCAGGCGGACACTCTGCCGCCGTGACCAACACCAGACCCTGCCTCGCGCCACCACGAGCAAAGATTTGGTTTCAGAGCAACGGCAGCAGCTCTTGCGTTGACTACTTTGAATCGTACCGATTTTGTTCATTGCTTAACATGCAAATCTCTTTAAATTCTTCTTACTTTTATAAGAGACGTAAGAACAAGAAATTTATACCTACTTTTAAGCTCATTCATACATAAGTATTAATGTTATTAACATGAAAATCATTTAAGTGGGTACCAGTGGGAGTCTGAAAGCTTCTCCTTGGATTTGCTAACCAAGTTGAAGACACGGAGCAAATACCTGTGAGCTGCACAGAAAACGAATCTTTCCTGCGATCAAAATGCACGAACATATAGGACCCCCAGCCCTGCAGGCATTTGCAGACCTCGAATCACCAAAGCCCATTTGCAGACTCGCTCCTTCATGAGCCCCTAGGAACTGCGAAGTGCTGTGGCCCAGGTCTGCCGGTCCGCGCCTCCGGCGGCTCCTGGGTCACACCCAGGTCCCAGGGTGTCGAGGACACACACACACATCTCACTGCACAGCCATGGGAGAGAGAAAGCAGGGCAGGCTGGGTGCAGCACGCCCCGGGAATGGCACTTACACAAAGAAGGGCATCAGCTGGACGAGGGTCTCTTTCTTGGGGCTGGTGGCAAACTCGGGGACCATCTGGATGACCTTGTTCATGACGTTGCGCAGGTAGTTTTGGAGCTGCTTCCTTCGTTCCTCCACGAACTTGGCGTCCTGAGAAAACAGAAGGACAGTGCGCTCAGGTGTCCTCTCCTCGCTTACGCAGAAACTTCCCCGTAGCACACACAGTGAATCCTTCATCACCAGCAGACATCCCACACTTACTGAGTGATGGCCAAGTGCTTCACATGTGTGATCACCTCTGATTACAGGGCAGATGCTCATGGTATTAGTAAGTGGGGGAAAGCAGGTCCCTAAAACTACCGCAGTGTGTCCCCGTGAATGAATGAGGTCTTAGCAACTGTGGCTATTATTTACTGAGCACCTACCATGTGCCAAACGCAGTGCTGGGGACCAAGGACAGACCAGTGGACACAAATGGTCCCTGGTGGAGGTCCCAGGTCAGTGGGGGAGTCACAAATGAATCCAGTGACCACACAGGTCAGCGTGTAATTATTAAGCACACTAAACGCCACCCTCTAGAAAGGGTGCTTAATTTTGCCTTCACAGGAATTTTCCAAAGTATAAATTTGTTGCCACGATTTAAGAAAGATTTTATTAATAAACAAATTCTACCTTTGCTTGAAAAACTAGGAGCCATGGCAGCACGCTCCGACCCACAGAGCCACACCAGGCTGGGCGGTGCAGCGTGGCCCCCAGTCTGCAAAGTCTCCACCCCTCCCTGGTCAGGGGCTCCGTGCTCCAGACCCCCCCCACACACACACACACACGTGCCCCCTGTATCTCCTTGGCCCTCGTAGGCAGCTTCCCAGGCGTTTGTCCTGTGTAGTTACATAGGGCTGGAACTTGGACCTGTGTGATGATCTGCTGTCCCTGCCTTGAAATTCTTAACAGTTTTGCAACAAGAGGCCTCATGTTTTCCTGTTGCCCTGGGCCCCAGGGAGTTGGACGCGTGTCCTACTCATTTGAATCTGCACGGGGGGGCCCGGTTTATAACGAAGAAACCCTGGACAGCATGGGGGGCAGGAAAGACGTTCTCCGAGGAGGTGATGCTCGTTCTGGAGTGAAGGCCAAGTGTGGTGAAGAAGCGAACAGCAGAGAGAGACACAAGGCCATTTATCCTCATGAGAAGAGACATGGACTCTGATTACTGTCCCATGACAAATGAGGACATTGTAGCCTAGAGAGGAGCTGGCCAGCTCAGCCATGAGGCCCCGCAGACGGAGTGGGGCTCTCAGCCCTGTCCCCACCCAGCGCCAGCACAGAGCCCACCCAGGCAGGGCTCAGTAAGTCTGCTGAACGAGGTCAAGCTCAGAGCCACCTGAGAACCCACCCAGTCCATGACCTGGTCTCCGACGAAGACCCCACACAAGGCCCTGTCAAGGACCCATGCACGGCTGGGAGATTCTGTCCTAAGTATTGCCAGATTTCGCAAATAAAAACACAGCCCGCCCAGTGAAATTTGAATTTCAGATAGGCAGTGAATCATCTTTCAGTTTTCATAACCTGATATTCAATAATTCATAATTCAATAATTTTTCAGTATTCAGGCATTCAGCATACAATAAAACCTTTCCGCGCAGTATTTGGGGCATGTTGAAAGAAATTATTCATTGTTGATCTGAAATTCAGATTTCGCTGAGCGTCCTGTATTTCATCTGGCCACCCTCCTCTGCGTACCAGGCGGGAGGAAGACACCGGGCAGCAGGGTCCTCCAGCCCAAAGCCCCTCCCTGCGGAGCTGCCTGGGAGGGAACCTGCCTCCAGAGGGGCGGTGGCGGTGGAACCCTGCCTCTGGCCACCCCCATCGTTGCGCAGTCCCAGGCGGGATAAGGTCACCTGCAGCCTGGCGGGAGGCGTGCGGAGTTGGGGGGCTGCAGGTCCTCTGCCCGATCCGGAGCCACCCAGGCTCCGCTGCCCGGCCTGGCTTGAATCCCAGGTTCTGCTCCATGGTCACCAAGTTTCAACCTGTCATTAAACAACTAGATGCGTCTCCTTGGGAAGGTGGTTAATATGCCAGGTTAGTGCTGAATCGAGCTAATTAAGCCTAGTTTTTAATCTGCACAAGAAACCCTCAAAGGCTGCTTGAAAGGCCCTGCAGGAGGACAAGGAAGGAGCTAATCAGCTTCGGAAGAACCTGCGGAGAGCTCTCCTTTTTATGGTGGGGGTGGTGGGGGTGGGGCGGGGGTGCTCAAGGCACTCTAAAGCAGCAAGGAGAGATTGGAGATGGCTCCTCGTGTGGCCACAGCATCCTAGGAAGGTGGGGACCCCCGAAAGGGAGGTCGGAGGCTCCCACCCAGGAATCGAATCCGCCCATTTCCACTTGATCAGTGACTCTTCTCGCCCAAGTTCAGGGGCAACAGGGACTCGGCAGGCAGTGACGAGCCTTCCTTCCATGTACTTCTCTCGTACTGATTCCCTGAGCCAGCCAGCCCCGGGGAAGCCCAGCCAGCTCCTGAGAAGATCCAGCAACGGCAGCCGTCTGAATCTGACATCCTGCGCCACGCAGAATAAAGCACGATGTCCGTGGAGTCTGTTCTCACGGCGCTCAGCTCTTTCCTTGCTCCGCGTCCTTACAGCACGCCTGAGGCTGGCAACTGAGGCTCAGGGAGGGGAGGGAATTTGTCCCAGGCCTCAGAACCGGCAGGCGGCTGAGCAGGGGCCAGGGATTCAACCTTCCAGCAGGGAGAGCCGCCCTCTGTCCAGAACTTAGAGAAGAAACACCTGCGGGTCCTCCAAGCCGCAGGCCTGCCCACACCAGGACTCAGTTCACCCACCTTCCACCTGCCCGGCGGCTTTTGCAAAAGCCATTCACTGTGTGACGAGAAGGACACCTGTCGTCTCGGTGCTTGATGGCCACCCTCTGCCCCGGACGCTGCTCCTTTGGGTCTCCGTCTGATCTCAGAGGTGCCAACACCTCGTGTCGCCACACACGACTTGGCAGAACACAGTGGGGCAGGGACGCTCTCAGAACAGTTCCTGGGAGGCTGAAGTCTTTCCTGTGACTGCCATTTCATTGTCTTTTTTACTATGAAAATTTCAAAATATGGCAAAAAGCAGTGCAAATGAATCCCCATAACTTTTATCTAAGAAAGCCTTAATCCTTTTCCATATTTGCTTCATCATTATTTACATCATGTTCTTCATCAAACACACTGTTTGCTAAGATGTTTTAGAGTAAATTATGGTCTTCGTGACATTTCACCCCTAAATACTTCAGTGTAAATTTCTGAAATACTAAGAGCATTTTCCTATTTAACCACAAGGCCATTATCGCCTCTCGCAAAATAAAGGATGGTTTTTTTTGGCGTTATCTCAAACCTAATCCGTATTCAAACATTTGAGTTTTCAAATGCACCTGCTGCTTCTGGAATTTTTAAAAGGCGTCGTGTCCATCCCAGAACGAAGCTAGGAAGCTGGCCGTTCTTCACCAGGCTGAATGTGACACTGTTCAGAACAGCGTCCCCCTTGGGGATCACTCGGGTGCTGACATTTTGGCGACGATAGCCCCACCTTTTTCACCACAAGCTGCTAATGGCTTTTACGGCCTAAAAACATGAAAACCATGAGATTGCTGCATAAAATCCAGATTCTGGGACTCCCTTGAAAAATGAGCATTCCTGCCCTTGTCAGCCAGAAGCACGGTGCCACCATCCCACCCAGCCTGCTCGCCTCGGTCCCATCCCCTGCCTGGCTTCCGAGGGCCTGAGTTTGAGGCCCCTGGTTTATACCGCTTGCACAGCCAGTAGGGTTGCCGAGACCCTACACAAGCATCCAAGAAACCAGCCTGTGAGATGATCACACTACAAGATGAGATGACATCCACTTAGGCAGGCGCAGCGACCTGCATTGCCACTGACCAGCTCTACAGTCAGGTGGCTGAGCCACTCAGAGCCTCGGGCTTCTCATCTGTGAAATGGGGGTGAGGATGGCGCCCACCTAGGCTAAGCACCTGGTCGCCAACCTCACCTGCCAGGCTCCGCGATAGGTGCTGATAATTCATGGAAACTCAACCAGGATGCTTTTCCTCAAGGCGGTTCTACGTGTCCGGGGTGCGGGCAGGTGGGTAGATGGCGAGTGCCCGGGCAGGGGGTGCGTGCTGTGTAATCGCAGGTGCTCGGGGAAGCCTGCGGGAAGGTTACACGAGGAACGGAGAGGGCTCCACTCAGAGGAAACAACTCCTGAAGATGCTGCTGTAGCATCTCTTGGGGGAAAGACGTCATCAGGTGGTCTTGGTAGGTGCCCTCGGGTGGGGGAAGGGCACGGCAGGTGGAAGGAACAGCAAATGTGAACGCCATAGGCAGAAGGCCCCTGTGTCTGGGCTTCGGGGTCCCGGGAGGTAAGGCTGTAGCAGCAGCAGGAGTCCGAGCACGCACAGCCTTGGAGACCACGGGAAGAAGCTGATGGTGGGCGGGATGCAGCAGGTGCGTGACCTCAGAAGCGTGAGAGAGACCACGATGGGGGAAATAGGCTGAAGGAGTCTTAGGCAGAGCAATCTTTCAACAATCTACCATGACATTCTCCTGCTTGGGATTCGTCAGTGGCTCCGTGAACTCTGCCCACCTCCCAGCTCGCACACCTAAACCCTAGCATGGTTCACGGGAACCTCGTGGCCCCAGCATGCCCTGCTAGCCTCACTTCACATCACCCTGTCCCCACCCTCACACCCACCCCAACACCGTCAACACCTCAACCCCCAACTTTCTTCCCGTGTTCTGCACACCGTCCACTGGTATCTTCAGGCCTTTCGCAGGCTGCTCCCTTGGCCTGGATGCCTTGATGCCAGCTGCTGTTGCCCAGCCCTGCCATTCTCGGTCCTTCACAGCCCTTACCGCTGCCTGGAATGATCTCATGCGTTCATCGTGTGCCTCTTCTATGCGACTGTAAGCCCCGGGAAGGCAGGGACCCCATCTGTCTCATTCACCCCTGTATCACCAGAGCCTAACACAGTGCCTGGAGCTCAGGAGAGGCCCCATAAACATCTGTTGCAAGGACGAATAAATGTGGGGCGTGGATTTAGGGGAGGCGAGGCAGGCCACCAGGGAGACTGGTTTGGAGGCTGTTGCCAAGTCCAGATAAGAGATGACAAAGACC